TTTTACGTGAAAATCATTATTTAGTTTACATATTACTCATATAATTTTAATTTTTTTTTAATTTTATTCATCATTGCCTATGAAAAGGCCACAGCTGGTAATGGGCCTCCTCCGTAGATTACTTTATAGCGAAAATATGCAACATAGGTGCCACGCTTGGCAAGCGGATTTGTAAACGCAGTTATTTAGTAGTTCGAGTTGCAGTCGAGAAAACACTTCTTTCAACGTCCACAAATATGATTGATTGGTAAGAAAATGCTCAGAGATTAAATAATTTATAAATTAATAATAAATATAGTATATCGTCCCTCACTGCTGGCCGTATGAGGAAGCTCTAAGTCGCTCAGCGAGCCATAGAGAGGGCTATGTTTGAGTTTCTCTGCGTGATAAACTTAGAAATGAGGATATCTGTAGTAGAACCAGAGTGATCGACATAGCGCAACGGATTAGTAAGCTGATGTGGCAATAAGCCGGCCATATAGCTCGAAGAACCGATAACCGATGGGGATAAAATGTTCTCGAGTGGCAGCCTCGTATCGGTAGGAAAAGTGCAGGCCGACCCCCTACTACATGGAGTGACGACCTGGTAAGACATGCAGGAAGTCGATCGATGCAGGTGACTCAGGACCGTGCTTTGTGGCATTCCTTGAGGGAGGCCTATGTTCAGCAGTGGACTTGTGAAGGGCTGTAATTATAATGATACTGAATAAATATTATACCACAACGACGAACGAACTTAGTTATTTAGTACTCCTAAAAAGTTGTACTTAGAGAATGTCTTAATAATTACGTCGTTCTGTTGTTTAATCCGTGTAACCTACCCGGCCCCGCTGTATCTATCTATCCACGAGTATGAAAACTTTCGCTTTCCAACACAAATGGAATATGTAGAGGCACGTGCGGTTGCTACGCATTTCGAATAACTACGTGATATCGGCCAATAACATCCGCGCATTCCAAAGAACCTGACGTAAGGATGTAGTTCATAGAGAATTTTTATTTTATTCATTGTGAATTTTTTAACGGAGTAGAGCAATGCTGCAGATATATTTTGGATGTAGCATGAATGGTCCGCATTTGTTCTGTGTCTGCGTGGTAGCTCAAACTGCTAGCGCTCGGTAAAGTCACGTTACGCGAGCAACCCGGGTTCGATACCAGCCGACACCAATGAAATTGTTAATTGCAATTTGAAGTACTAATTTACCACGTGCTCGGCGGTGAAGGAAAACGTCGTGTGGAAACCTAAATATCTCAGAAATAAAAAATAAATATTTCGAAGACATGCGAAGTTCGCCAACACGCATTGTGGCAGCGCGGCTGATACTTCCTTGCCCTAAATCCCTCTCAGAAATGAGGGGTCTGTGTCCAGCAGTGGAACGTATATAGGCTGTAACTTTTAATTTAACTTTAACGAATGGGTGGGCTCGACCGGTATAGGACCACGCCTTCACAGAATAACAGCGTAAAATAGCAGCTTAATGCTGCTCTGTTTCGCATGGTGAGTGTAGACAACCAAACACAAAAACAACCAGAGACACTTTTTACTGGAAACGGGGCATTCCATCTTAGACGTAAAGGATGACAACAAATCTGAATTTTGATTCTTAATCGAGGATAAATTTGGATGTCTATGGACCACAGCATCCACTTACCATCTGGTGGACTGTGTGCTCGTTTTTCACACTTATTTTATAAAAAAATACAAGGATGAGTTACAAGCGATTACACAGTTCAGCGTTTGGTAAGACTTTTGTGGCCGATAAACACCTATCCCTGTTCTCAATTAGGATTCACAATGCAGATGCGTTGTTACTCCGGAGAACTAAGATAGGATGCCATGTTACAAGTAACACGGCTATTTGATTGACGTCATTAACCATATTAAAATACTGATATAATGGTGTCATTTAAAATTATCTATTTTCTAAACTAATGAAGAAAACAATTATAGCTGCTATAATATAATAGGTTAAAAAATAAGGCAATTATTATACGCAATTAAGAGTGGATTAATTTTCTAGAAATTCCAAGAATGCACGACTCCAATTTTCAGGTGCGTATCGTGGTCGGCAGACTATATCCGCCGCCGCCGGAAGATCGGAAAGATTTGAAACACTATTGGTTACGGACAAAAGTTTTTCCTGGTCATTTCTTCCACGTGACGGACTCGTTGGATTTCGTTATGCAGGTGGAAATGAAGCCCATGTAGGAAAACGCACCTTGTGTTCCGCGATTCTTCCCTGATGACGAATGGGGTTAAAGTTTTTCTCTATCGAGGGGATACCGCCATGCGGCGGCTGGCGCTGGCGGAGCAAGACGTGTGCGCAAGTGTTCCCGTGCAGTTATGCAAAAAAGAGGGAACATCATGGGATTTTATTCGGTACGGGTTCGACATAACCCGTGTCTTTTCGGGAAAAGTATTTAAAATGATTAAAAAAATAGGTATAGCGTGAGTATGACGCGTGTGAATTGGCAGCATGATGGCCACGCAACTCGGGCGGGCACCACTCGGGACACTAATACAATGACGTGTATTTGTCAGGACGCCACGCGGTACGCCCCGTTGAACGCTCTCCAGCAAGACCTTAACCTAGGGTTGCCAACACCTCCGCAGGCTACTTGATGCCTGGCTGGAGATGGGACGGTTCCCAATACAGTAGAAAACGGGCAGGTTAGTCCTTCTGAAGAAGGATGGGCGTCACGCCCACCCTCCCTCCGCCTGCCACCCAGTAGTATTGCTCGATGAAGCAGATAAGCTCTTCGAACGAATAATAGTCCGTCGCCCGTCGGGCATCTCGAAGAGATGGGTTCCAATTTGTCAGACCAGCAATTTGGCTTTCCAGTGGGTCGGTAAACGATAGACGCAATTAAATACGTTAATGCCCACTCGGACATTGGCGTATTTATATTTATAGGTAACTCGTAATATTGGCGAGGGGTGGAGTGTTATTGGCAGTGTCTCTAGATATTGCCAACGCTTTCAACACCCTGCCCTGGGAGTGAATCGGGGATACACTGAAGTACCACAGTGCCTCCCTATCTCAGCCGAATAACCGGGAGCTATCTCTCTGAGCGATGCGTTTGCTATCCTAGGCGGAAAGGCAGGATATTTTATTGCAGAGTTCTTTTTTCCGTCTCCGAAACTCATCATCAGATCTTTACGAAAATAAATGAGCCCATTTCTGAATAACCTTCTTTCGAACAAACAAATAATTTTGCAAATCCGTCTATACATAACAAAGTTATGTAAAAATGTCCGAATATACATATAAAAATATACAAAGATCTGAATTGAGAATCTCCTCCTTTTTTGAAATATGTTAAAAATAAGATACAGCTAGAATAATAGATCTTTAGGCTTTGTTTCGGTAGATCTTTTTTGTGGTAAAGAATTGTTTTAAATAAAGCGTTTTTTAGTTAAAACCTGGTTTAAAAATCCCAACATTACTCAGAGCCTAGAATAGAAACACCAGTTTAAGACAGTTGGTAGATAATTGGCGCCATAGATAGTGAGAACGAGATTATTAGACCAACCATTGTTGTAAGTAATAAAAAAATACGATTTAAATGCAGAAAGCGTATCAATCTTATTACTTTCAGTTTTTTGAGTTATTATAACTAAGTTGTGTAAATATTATACATAATTACATTTACATTCATTTGCTATTTCTACATTGCTATTACAAACTACAGAGGGTCAAATAATAGGGTAATTTTATACTTTCGCGGTCCCCTCGTTTGTTGGCTCTACAAAATCGAAAAATCATCCGATTTAGATGATTTTTTTAAATCTTCATTTTTATGGCGGATTTATGAAAAAAAATATGGAAAATATCTAACCTGAAGATTTCATATAGTTTTATGACTTTAAATGTGATCATAAACGCACCTCTTCGAATATAATCGTTCATAACTTTTTGCAAAGCATTAAACAAAGTTTATATATTTTTTTGTTTATATACACAAAAAACGAACATTTAAAAAACATTGAAAATATTTGTTTATTAATTTTTTATCTCACTTAAAGTTTTTATATGGTTTTCTGACTTTAAATGTTATCATAAACGCTCTAGAAAATCGAAATAATTATAAAAGTTAATATTTTGGTGATTTATTGAGTGTTAAGATCGAGCGAAGCGAGCTCGGGACTTGGCATCCGGACAGGTTAGGTTAGAAGGAGATCTCCTTCGTGTTTTTCTTTCCTTTTTGTCACCTTTTTTTTGTTGATCTACACAAAAAACGGACATTTAAAAAAATATTGTAAAATGTTTGTTGACAAACATTTGTTGGAATGTCAGAATAACGCAATGCACGCTCGTTTGACAGTATAAGGCAGCGGCTGCCGGAGCTAAACTATACTCTCATATATTAAATACATATATACTCATACACCAAGGGAACATCAACATTATATACAACAAAATATTCATTTGAAACAAGAACCTATTCATTGTGATTTTTTTTAAATTTAATTCATGTAATATATTACTTTTTATTTGCTCTAGTACCCCTATTTATTTTCATACAAAAACTATATTAAAAGTTTTTTTAAAAAGTTGTTTCATACAACCAAACATATTAAACATATTATGGGGATTTCCTGTATAACCAATGTATAAAACTGCGGTCACATTTCAAAGAATCGGAATCTTCCTACAGTAAGAAAATTTACAAAGAAAAGCAATACTCACGACTGGGTTTTAATCTCAAATATAACGAGGTCTGTTTAAGGCGGTTCGCCACTGAGTACTTATTCAATTTGAATATGTAGGTAACCACACACAATTATTTTTATCAAAATGCTATTACTAGGAAGGTAAGAAATAATCGAGATAAATTTACGCTCTCCATCGGCCAATGTAACAATAAAATAATCACTCAGCATCTCAGGAATTGTCATTTAGTGACGCCTAACAGAGAGCCAACTATATCTTACATTTTATCTTCATAACCTACAAAATAATATCTGATCGCAAAGAGAATAACATTAGGTGACTCACCTTGGCACACAGATGGAATGGTAGAGGCCGTGGTTCCGCAGGACGTGGATGAATTCGGGCAGCGTCCGACACGCGCCCATGATGCTGAACGCCGCTAATGCACTGTTCCATATTATGAGAGTGCGTCTCAACTCGAACCTGGTACAAAAAAGAACAATGTTCAGTTTCGTACATCGTAAAGCTCTGCTGCAGCTATATGGTTATAGTTTTAGTTTTTTTTGAGAAAGGGCCATGCTTTCACAGAATATCACCATAATATAACAGAATAAACGAGGCATTTTATCTTAATGCTCAGGGCTGACAACAGACTGATAGCAGTCATCGGTTACAGCATCATATATACCACTCTTACGTGGTAGAGCCACGCTACAGCTATATTATAGTTGTAGCACCAATGGGTCGGTTCGACCGGGGCAAAACCACGCTCTCACAGAATACCGCTCACGCTCTAACAGTAAAATACCAGCTTAAGGCTGCTGTGATTCGTATGGTGAGTGTAGACCCTTTTTACGGGAATCGAGGCATTCCATCTTACTCATCAAGGGTGACAACCACTTGCATTTTAATCCTTAGTTGAAAACAAATGTGGTTGTCTATCCTTTAACTGTTAACAAATATAACAGTTTTTAATTGCGTAAGGGTTAGTGAACCTGTAAAAGCATATATATATATATAAAATATGTAACTTAATTAACGCACACTCTCACACACCCCAATTATTAGTATATTATGTTATAATCATAATACATACACTGAATTTTTAGTTAAACATTTTTATGTACTGATTTTTTATCAAGTTAGTTATACTAATTCCGGAAGATGTTGTGGTCACAGTACAAATCCACGAACGCAAAGACTCGTGCTAGAAATAAAGTTCATTTTTCATTATTTTTATTGAATGACAGAATTAGTAATAATACAAATAAAACTGCACTCTTAAACGTCTTATTGCCTTAAGTTAGGGTCCATTTCAGTTTGTTTTGACTGTACAGATTTAGTGTGATTGTAATTTACGTAGTTTTAATTATTTTAGGGATGAAAAATTACCTATATTAAAAATGATGGGATTCGGTTCAGTAAACGGTTCTGAACAAAGTACTTTCTCAAAGTGCGTTAATTATGTTACATGTTGTATATTTGGAATAAAAATAAGGTTTGAAATTTTAATGTACACACAAAAACTTAAAAAAATTAAGCCATAAAATAATTTCCACGCAATAGTTTCAGAACTCGGTTCTAAGAAGAATAATTAAAGCATAGTGGTTGGAAATTTGCTTTTCTTTGCCTAAGTCTAATTTTTTAGATGTTTCTAATATTGCATTAACGAAAAAAGAAAAGTAATCGCTATATATAGAAATCAATTTCTATCCGTTAATCTTGCAAAAATTCAAAAAATGGCTCGATCTATTTTTATTTAAAAAAAAACGTATGATCACATTTGGACCCGGTAGGTGACGCTATTTCCGACATCCAGAACACAAGCCGGGTCGAAACGCAAGTTATTAATAAAAACAAAAAAGCTACAGCGATCTTTTACTAACTAACAAAATGGCAGATTCAAAGTTAATAATATCAGTCTTTTAACGCATTAGCTTTCATTGGGTAAAAGAAAAATTTCACCGTGTAGTTGCGGCGTTAGAGATTCCACTACGTCATATCATCCCGTGAGTTCAGCGGCGACAGATAGAAACTAAAACGGATTGGCAGGAGGATCTTCCTGATAACAACTAGAAGTAACGTATGGCAAATATGTCCCTTATGAGGCCATATTTTTTATAGGATAGGGTGACAAACGAGCACACAGTTCACCTGATTGGTAAGTGGTTGCTGCGGCCCATAGACATCTACACCTATCCTCGATTACAAACCAAAATGCAGATGCGTTGTCACACATGAGGACTAAGATGGAATCCATCGTTTACAGTAAAAAGGGTCTCCGGTTCTCTACAATCACCATACGAAACAACTACTATTTCACGCTGGTATTCTGTGAGGGCGTGGTCCTTCCCCGGTCGAGCCGACCCATTCGTGCTACAACTATACTACTAATATACAGTGACACTCAACTATAGGAAAGGCTATATTTAGTAGACTATGATACTATGATAATGATACAAGAGACAAGTAACGGCTTTTTAAAAACTGCAACAACAGTAATTTAAATTATTATTTTGATGCACCGCAATGTAGGTAATAAAAAGAGAACATCGGCTTCGCTCGCACTAGGCGAGTGATGATACTAGTTATTACCAGGTCGGTACTGGTGACCTCGACAACCGGAGAGCGCTATAACATCTAAATCTAGACCAGCTCCATTACATACACTGTGCACTTGTTAGCGAACCGACAGATATTACATACGTCAGTTCCTAATAAACTACGGAGGTCGCGTTAACTTGAACTTCAAAACTTGTCAAAGAATTTACTTAATTTAAATTTTTTTATACGAGAGGGGCAAACGAGCGCGCGGCTCACCTGTTGGTAAGAGACTACCGCCGCCCATGAACAACTGCAACACCACAGGAATTGCAGATGCGTGACGGCCTTTTAAAAAAGAGTAGGCTCTATTCTTGATGGTCCCTAAGTCGGATCGGTCCGGTAAAATCATTGGTGTTAATTGATTATACAAGCAAGAAGAAAGCTTCTTCTAAATCGCACAATGGTGGACTGCCAGTCATCCAGATGTGGATGGTATCTCAAGTTTTATCGCGATGTGCGATGGTTATACGATAGAATATCCAAAGAGATAACACGACTTCATACAAGCCTTTAGATGCCTTCACCTCTTAGAGATTAGGTGGAATGCCTGACAACCAGTAATTATACTTGCTCTCTGTCAACTATACCCTTCAAACTGAAATAGAGCAGAACAGGCACTATTTGGTGGCAGTAAGAGTGGTATAGTCACGCTGCAGCTATATTATGGTGGTAGCACGAATGGGTCGGCTCGACCGGGTTAAGACCATGCTCTCACAGAATACCAGCGCTAAAATAGCATTTTAATGTCGCAGTATTTCGCATGATTAGTACAAACCCTCGTGGTTATGGTAGGGCGACTGCTGATCAAGCGGTCCTGGGTTCGAATCGCGGGTCAGGCCAAAAAAAATAATTATTGTGTTTTTCCGTCAAGAAATTCTCAGTAGCTGCTCGATGTCAGGAAGTTGGCGGTGTCACACGCCCAGCACGTAAAGCCTAGTTAGTCTTGCACCTGATCTGTCTCTGATCGTGTCGGTTTACCGTCCCATCGGATTAAGAAAGTGAGGGAATATAGAGTGCACCTGTGCTTGGGCACTATAATCCTGTCCTGCGCCGACGGCTAGTCTCCGTTGAAGCTGGCCGCCGTAACCGAAATTCGTTCTGGAGGACATAGAGAACCGGAGAACTTTTTACTGGAAACGAGGCATTCGGTCTTTGTCGTTAACACTTGCTTTTTTTGATAGGATAGGGTGATAAACAAGCACACAGTCCATCTGATGGTGAATAGATGCTGTGGCCCATAGACATCTACATCTATCCTCGACCTTCCCCGGTCGAGCCGACCCATTCGTGATACAACTACACTACTAATATAACTTTTTTTTTTATAGAATAGGCTGACAAACGAGCACACAGTCCACCTGATGGTAAGTGGTTGCTGCGGCCCATAGACATCTACATCTATCTTCCATTACAAATCAAAATGCAGATGCGTTGTCACCCGTGAGGACTGAGATGGAATGCCTCATTTTCAGTAAAAAGGGTCTCCGGTTCTCTACACTCACCATACGAAATACAGCAGCATTAAGCTACTATTTCACGCTGGTATTCTGTGAGAGCGTGGTCCTTCCCCGGTCGAGCCGACCCATTCGTGCTACAACTATACTACTAATATAACTGCAGCATGGCTCTACCACGTAGAGAAACTGCAGCATCAATCATCAGCATGCTTTATGCATTACTAGCAAGATACCTTTGCAATGGTAACGCTACTCCGCAACACCAGACTGTATGGTTGTTGGTTGGAGTTCGGCATTTTCGAAAACTGATATAGTCTCACGATATCTAAGGAACGAGGCTTAGGTGTACGTTTGCGCAGTGCAAGTTATATATATATATATATATATATATATATATATATATATATATATATATATATATATATATTAGGAAATAATTTATTACATACCTAGATACTGCAATCACAAAAAAAATTCTATTTATAAGTATATCTATTATAGAATGGCAGCATTTTGTGTAAATTTTGAATCAACATCAAACAACTTCGAAGTAGCTGTATTGTAGATTGGTTCTATTGCTTAAAAAAGAACACTATATTTGTTCGCACACCCGTCAGCGTTTTAATTAATTTAAACATTATTTCTGCATAAAAAAGTGATAAACATGACAAAAACGTTTTTATGACATACTTTTTAGTCAAAGTCAAGATTTATATCAACAAGCTGTGTAAACACAATATTAGATAATTTTGGTATCGATTTATAATTTAGAATGCAGTTATTTACTTAATAACATCACCAATAGCATACGTAATAACGATTGATTCACTGTAATCGTTTCCGTTACTATAAAAATCCACTACTAAATAGGTATAGGCCTCCCCCATAGATTTCCTCATATGGGAGCGGATATTTGCCATAAGAGCCAAGCTTAGCACGTGGATTAACAATCGCAGTTTTTTCATTTTTAGTCGTTGATTATTTTAAGATGCTGCCGCCCATCTCCTGCCTGTTTCCCTCTGTCGCCTCTTACGACACCCACAGGATGACATGGGGTTGTGGATATTTCTACACTGCCAGTAAAAGTTAGACTCCCGGTCAAAGTTAGACTTACCTAATCGGACTATTTGTCCCAGGTAGACGTACTTGTCAACAGATGTGATATGGACATTAAAAATGATCTTTGTTTTGTCCATGTTCATCTTAAGAACTCAATAGTGTATCCCAACGGATAGGCCGTTGGGATACACTATTGAGTTCTTATATTTACGCGAACACTACACATTGAAATAATACTAGTTTTTACGGAATTTATCGCGGGCGTGACCATGAGTGCTGTAAAGCGTTCGAAACGTCGGGTATTT